CAGTATGTAAATTAGGTACCGTAAGTCTAATACAGTACTGTAATTTTATACATTTCTTGTGAAAGAAACATTTCTTATTCAACGGCGATTAAAATTATTTATATTAATGATGTCTCCGAGGTTCAACGAAGTTTTCGCAGAAAAATAATATCAGAAATCGCGGCCGCGGTTTGGTGTGCTGCTTTGCGACGCAAACAAGCTTTAGCAATGGGGTTGCCGAATGGTGCACACTCGGTAAGTAATCCTACAATTTTTCGTTTATAGCGTAGTTTATACGGATTATTTCCAAAAAATATATACGTATTTTGGAAATGTTGAGTCGAATTAGTCTAGAATCGATTCATTTTATGGAAGAAAACCTTTCAAACAGCTGTAGTCCGTAAACTTGACACGTGTTAGGCTGTGATTGGAACGACTCGTAAGAAATCGGATTCCTAAAGAATGGAACGTATCTATGATCTTATAGGGGGGTCGACTATATTTCTTTTGCTCTCACTGCAAAAACTGAAAAACCATAAGTTAATTTACGCTTGACAAATGAACTGAAAATTAATCTTTTTTCTCTTTTTCCTGTAATTATAGCATTTTCCCACGGAAAAAAAAGGCGAAAGTCCCCGCGTGCGTAATCCGAATTTGTCAATTCTTTCAAAAACTGACTGGCGTCATCCCGACCCGAGCGAATAGTTAAATCGAGCCAATGTTTTGGAAAAATTCGAACGTGACCCGAACAAGAACGAAAGAAATAAATGTTATTTAAATTTATGCCGCTTATAAAGTGTACCCTACTGTACTTATATATTCGGAAATTTGACCAGTTGTTTTTTCCACTCGACTTCTGTGCAGCAGCAGGGGCGTAGCCACGGTGGGGCAGAGTGGGGCGTTTGTCGCGAGTCGTAAATCATCGGAAACATCGCGCGAATCCATCGGCAAAGACTCCTACGGAGTTTGGAAAAGATCACTAATTATTCCGTACGTAGATTCATTAATGATGTCTCTGAAACAGCGTTTTTCCGAGGAGAACTTGTCCGCATTCTGATCGTTTACGTTGCACCCTCACGTAAGGCTTGATATGTCGTACGAGGATTTAAATAAAAAACTACAATTTTTTGTACTTGCTACAATTTGAATGATTGAAGCTGAACTTTGGTACAACCAATGGGAAAGAAGAAATGTGCCAAATGCCGAACAGAAGGAGATAGAACCAGCTGCACTAGTTAAAGAAACGCGATTGTTCTACCCATCCAAAAACGGGCGCCTCTTATCTCACTCGCGCTACGTTCGGCACCTTACGCGGGGTAAAAACTTGGACACGGTTAACGATGACAGAAAATCGGCTTGTGCATAAAAAGAGGGTGCTGGAAGCTAAAAATAAATTTGAGAAAGAAATTTTTACAAGATTTAGAAAGAATTCCTGTAGGCTAGTGCTGAAATAAGATTTAGGTAACGTTCGAATAGCGTTGCAACTAATTACTTTTTTAGCGTTTTCAAATGTTCAAATAAAACCATTTTTTAATAAATAACGTTATCCTATTATTGCCTCTCCCTGGAGAAAATCCTGACTCATTTTAGTACCACGGCCGTCTCATTC